CAACTTATTGAAATGGCAGCAGTCCCACATTTTGTTTCTATTTGGCAGGGATTTTGCTAAAATTAAACCAGTTACCACTAAAGCTTGACTGAAAATTATTCGTTTTACCCCATTCAGTCTATAGGTAAGAGACATGAAGTAAGAGAGACATTTGACTTATTGCCAATTTAATTTGACTTCCTTCACATCCTTCTTAGCTTGCTTACTTTTTTAGCAACAATATCTCCATGAACCTCCTTATCCTGCAGCTTGATCGAGGCCATGGGCACCTCTATGACTGAAAAAAATCTTGTTTGTTTACTCAGAAGTAATTTCAATGTATTTTGAAGTAAAATAGGTTGAGGCCTAGCAATATTAGCATCAAAATATTTGTCATTCTTTCACATATGCTTTCACAACGCTGCTATTAAATTTCCCAGAATAGATACACTTTTTCTTCTTTAGAGTAGACAATATTAAGGTAAGCAATATTAACAGGTAAGGATAGAATACTGGTAGGAAATGTCATGTTTTTTTTATTTAGCAAGGGCTGAATTAAATATTTAATTTAGAATATATATATTTTTGACCATGGTATCCCTTCCATTCATTTCACTGCTGTGATCTAACATAGTTAAGTCTTTCTCATTATATGGAAAGTTTTTATATTTACCTTTAAGAAGCAATGGATGGAAACTAATGAAGCAGAGATCCAACCTAAAAATAAGGATAAATTTCCTGTCAGTTAGAACAATTAATCAGTGGAATGGCTTGCCTCCAGAGGTTGTGGGTGCTCCATCGCTGGAGATTTTTAAGAAGGGACTGGACAGCCATTTGTCTGAAAGGGTATAGAGCAGTGGTGGCGAACCTATGGCACGGGTGCCAGAGGCGGCACTCAGAGCCCTCTCTGTGGGCACGCGTGCCATCACCCCAGTCCTAGGCCTTCAGCTGGATTTTATAAAACCTTTTCACTTTAGGCCTCCGCCACCGTGTGCAAAAAAAAAAGGTTCAATCAATCAGTCAATTTCAACTTCTCGTGGGAAAAAAAAGATCTTGCCATGTTGGAATTGATTGATTAAACTTTTTAGTCCCACCCAGTCTGCCGTTACCACCGCAGCCACGCCCACCCAATGGGCCACACCCACCCAATGGGCCACACCCACCTGGCACCCGACGATGCATAAGTGGGTTTTGGATTGCAGTTTGGGCACTCGGTCTCTAAAAGGTTCGCCATCACTGGTATAGAGTCTCCTGCTTGAGAAGAGGGTTAGACTAGAAGACATTCAAGGTCCTTTCCAACTCTTGTTCTGTATTCTGATACTATCTGTTCTTATTTTGGCTTGCACACAGTTGATGTTGATGTTCACACAGGAGAAGAAAGCATGACTTCTTTCTTCTGACCTCGCTAGGATTAATTTTTTTTTAAAGGGTGGGGGAGTTATATTTGACAAGAATTGTTTTCAAATATAATAAACATAATATATAATATATATATAACATATAAGTTGATAATTATAAGTTATATAATATATAACGTATATGTTATATATTAATAACTTATTAATATATAGTAATAACTTAATATGTCATAGAAATATTTGATATATAATTATGTTATATAATATATAACATAATATAATAAAATATAATCAACTGCATTAAGAGAGGGATAGAATTAAAATCACATAAAGTGTTAATACCACTTTATAATGCCTTGGTTAAGACCACACTAAGGAGAAATTTCCTGACAAAACAATTAATCAGTAGAACAACCTGCCTCCAGAAGTTGTGGGTGCTCCAACACTGGAGGTTTTTAAGAAGAGATTGAACAAGCATTTGTCTGAAATGGTATAGGATTTCCCACCTGAGCAGGGGATTGGACTAGAAAACCTCCAAGGTTCCTTCCAACTCTGTTATTCTGTTTTTCTGTTAACTTTAAAGTTTAATTATTTTATGTCTACAGTTCTGTAAGTGAGAGACACTATTAGCAGCTTCTCCAATCTACTGTCAGTAGTGCTATACTACAATTTCTGTCATTCATTACAGACCAGGGGATCAGATGAGCACCAGCTGGAACAAAACTGAACTATCTTTTTGGTTATATCTTCATCTTCATACACTTAAACTTTTAACAGAATAACACAGTTGGAAGGGACTTTGAAAGTCTTTTAGTCCAACTCCCTGCTCAGGGTGTTATCCAGAATTACAAAGAAAAAGTAATGTTCCTGACTCCATAAAATGGTTCCAGCATTCTTCTCATGTCATAATGAATTTCTACCTGATTTTTTTTAAAAAAATATTTAGATTCTCTTATTAAGAAAAACAATTAAATGGGAAATAAAGGCAGGCAAAGTACCAGTCTCATACAGAATCCACAGATATTTTTAGAAATCAAAATGGTAGCTGCAGTCCAGTATTTTATCTGGAAATATCCCCTTTGCCATAAGAGAAAATTGATAAGCTGAGAAGGCAGAAAGCATCCCTGGGAAGGCATGCCAGGAGGAGAACTTAACCTATTTTTTCTCTCTAGGAAATGTCTATATTATAACTGTTCACATCTTTTCATGGCAGCTATTGTGGAACAATCCTCATGACATTTTCTCAGAATTCTGAATGTTGGGGACCTCTGCTCCTGTGGATAGGGTATAGATTCAATAGTAACCAAACTAATTGATTTATCTTCAGATCACTGATAAAAGTTACATCTAAGCTACAATCCTGCACAATTCATTTAGAGTCAATGGAATTATTTCTTAGTAAATATGTATAAAAAAACTTCCTCTTACACATTTGTCCATGATCCTTGGGAACTTTGGGGATGCATCAGTGTAGTTTTCCTGGATAGAGACAATGTAGAACTGCTCTGATATTTTTGTTGAGCTTTCTATGCTAGCCACCAGTCCTAGCATTTCTGGATATTTCCCATCCAAATATTAACCAACATTAACACTACTTAGCTTCCAAGCCTAATCAAGGTCAGCAAGGAGTGCCACCTGAGATAAATAGGCAATTAATACAATTAATACAAGTAGTATTAGAAACAAAATTCATTAATAACACATTTTTACATGAGTTATGGAAATATTGACCCATTTGTCAATGTAATACTACAGATTAATGATTGGAACAGCATACTGTTCTTTAGAATTTTCATGTCATCTCAGCAAACGTATCTAAACTCATCAGCTAAGGTACATATATATTTATCCTCATTTGTAATTTCATAGGTATTTTATACACCATTTTCCTCCTTTAGTTTTCCAATGAATTATTTTAGTAATACAGTTCCAAGACTACAATTTCCTTTTGGCATTTTGTTACAACTATCATCTAATTTTGTTTGTCCTAGTGCAAGCAAATGGTTGTAACATCTCTTCTCATCTCTGCTATTGGAATGAGGAATGAGACCTAATTATAAACAATACTGTTTATAGTGAAAATTTAAGCACTTTGTATGTTTTCTTTGTGTTACTAGTACTAATAATATCAGGATATTTTTGTTATTGCATTAGTTTTCTTCAATATAATATGGACCACTTCTCTGTATTCAAACATTGGTTATAATTCTCCTCCAAACAGCATGTTTGTATGACTCTTTTACTATTTGTTCTTTTTCAAACAATCCTTAATTTTGCTGCTGCAGTGGCAATTGGTCTCTCTTTTTATTTTTTACTCTTTAAAAATATACTCTTTGTACAATCTTACCTACAGCTTTCTAAACTGCATCAGAGATTCTCCAATGCAGGTTACAAATATGACCTATTTCTCTAGTTTATCACTGTTATCTTTTTTTTCCCTAGTAACAGAAAGTTAGAAGTGCATATGTGGACCTTTTGGATAAGATTCTGTTCTAATATTCACAATAGCTAGAATCCAGCACTCATCCTCTTCTGTAGGTGGACCTTCTTCTATCAATTTGAAACCAGAGGGAGTCCATCTTCTCTCCCATTGCCCTGCTCCCAGAACACAACATAAACCTCTCTTTTACTTCTCTGATATCAATATTGGGGCTGAGTTTTTAATAGGTTTTATAGTAATACTCCTTACTCAAGACTGTGATTACTGTGGGTTCCTAATCAGCAAAAAGAAAACATGCCTTATGGACTATAGTGCCAAAAAACTGGAACCTGGCAAGATTGCTAAAAGTGCAAAATGAATTGCTGGGTCCACTCTCCTCAATATTTATTTATTATTTATTTATTTATTTATTAAATTTATATACCGCCCTATCTCCCTTACGGGACTCAGGGCGGTGAACAGGCGATAATAAAAACCATGATAAATATAGGCAGTTCTAAAATCAAATTAAATAATGGGCCTGTTCTAAAAACACACCCATACAAAAACCCCCACTAAAACATAATCAAACTACTGTCATTTATGCGGCTCATGTGACTTCTTCCTGTCTTTCCTGGGAGCAGAAAGGAAGAATATTTTGTCTTAGAGAAAAATGTTAACATTTCTCTGGTTTGAGCTTGATTCCTGATAACTACAAGGAAATAGGCATGTTGCTTTTTCAGCAGCAACGTAGAAATAGTTAGCAATTGTCTTCAGGCCTTCCCCCCACCAAAGGCCAAGGCCTTCCCCCACCCCAAGTTCACATTCTACTTCACAGTCCCGGAATTTTCTGCGTTCCCATTCAAGCCCAAACCCAACCTGATCCTGCTTAGCTACTGTAAGAGCAACTAAGATCAGCCAAATGCTGCTACTAACTGAGGACTCTCCCTCTGATATGGGTTAAGAAGCAGGCAAAACAAATCAAAACTCTTTTCCTTCCCCAATTAATGCATTTTAGCTTTTGGCTCTTTTTTCTTACATCTGTGTTTTGCATTTCTTTTTATTTTATTTTATTTTTATTTTATCATTGTACCCCTGGGCTCTTTCTAACACCATTAGAATATGTCTCTGATTCATGTGGGATGTAATGATTCTTGGCTAACAACCAAGTATTATGACTAACTAAAGCCTGAAATGTTATTTTCCCGAGATCTCTTTTGAGAATATTATTTTTTTCTTTGCAGGGTGCCTTCACATTTCATGGCAGCATGATAGACATGCCATTACTGAAACAGGCCCAAAATATTCTTACACTTGCTACTGCCATCAAGAAAAAATAAGCTGCTAAATAAACTTTTCCCGAAGAGTGATTCCAGGAGCTGCTTCAAGAAAAATTACATAATACCGAGAGAAAGAATAGTGCAATGCTTCATATTTCAATTGAATTCAGAATACACGTCAAACAACTTTGGTCTACTTTTTGTACTGAATGAAAATGCTAAGATTGGAGCCTGTTTCCTATGACAAGTGAGTTGTGACAGACCTGAAAGCAAAACTGTTTCCTTTGGAAAAGCGACCAATTAAAATCAATCAGTGATGTGGACAAACAGACTTCAATTAATATTTGTCTCAGAATTTTTTTCTGTGAAGAGCAGAATTGCCAAGGGGGGAAAAAAATCTTTATCTTTCATGGGTATGTAGAAAAGGGGCCCTTGGCAAGCATATTTTGTTATGCAATGAAGAAAAGAACTGCTGTTTGCTTAAAATTCTCTTTTCTACATAACAAGAAGTCTTAAGAGAGGTCTTTGGTAGTTTCAGAGACTTGACACATACAGTATGAAGGAATCCATAGACATTCCTTCCTCAACTTCTATTCATTTTGCTTTAAGACAGTGGTTCTCAACCTGTGGGTCGGGACCCCATTTGGGGTCGATCGACCATTTCACGGGGGTCGCCAAGCAAGGCTGTCCGCCATTTTTTTGTCCGCCATTTTTTTTGTCCGCCATTTTTTCCCCTTTTCCGGCGGGTGCCTTACCTCCCTTGGGCTGGGCCAGCTGGTGGTCGGCCTGCTCCGTCTCTGCCGCTTGCCAGCTATGCCTCAGCCGGCGCAGGGGGCGGAACCACGCATGCGCGGTGCTCCCGGGCAGGGAAAGTCCTCGACTTACGACCGGTTGGGTAGTCCTCGACTTACGACTGGTTTATTCCTCGACTTACGACCAGTTTAGTCCTCGACTTATGACTGGTTTAGTCCTCAACTTACGACCGGTTGGGGTCGCGGCATTAAAAAGGTTGAGAACCACTGCTTTAAGAGTTATACTTTTCTCCTTTGCTTTAAGACTTATATTTTCTCCTGGCACTGTTCTGTGTGACTTTTAAAGGCAGAATCTCCTCTCTGACTAGATTTCCAACTTAGCTTCTTTCAGTCTGAAGATGCATTGCTTTTAGAATAATTAATCTAAATTAACAATTGTGGTCCAATGGATTTTGCTGCCTGCAATAGAAAGTGCAAGCTCAAAACCATTTAATATGGATTAGTTAACTTCTCAAGAGGTTGGTAGTTAAACATTTGTATGCATCAACTAGGAGTTCAAACTATCTCCTGTATCTTTTTTCAGATGTTTCAGAAAATTAAATAATTAGAAGTTTTCCCATTTCACTGGGCAGAGACAACTGTCATGTGGACCTCTTCCCACCTAAATGAACACCTCTTATTTTTTTTCAAGTGCAATTGGATACGTGATTTATAAACATGTGGAGTTTGGTAAATCCCTGTAATCCTAAGTGCCTATGGAGAAGGGATTTATCAAAAGTGCTTTTTAAAAAGCATCTCACTGTTGAATCAGACCACTAGTTTTTCTTCAACATGCTCTGCACTGCTTTTAGTATCATCACAAAGGGTGAGAGCAGAGGAATTAGAGATTGTAAATTTCAGAAAGCTTTTTTTCCCCTTAACACTCAATGATAGTGCTACTTAAATCTCTGCAGATAGCCTTATTACAGCATTTTCAGCCCTGCAGAAATCTGTTTTGAATGTGACCTTAAAGGAAGGGCATAGTTATCGTGCCTTTTATGAGCATATTAGTAAAGTCTGGTTTTTAAATTAGTATGAGATGAAAACTGGGTGTAATTCCTCAGAATGATTAATCCAAAATTGCAGTTTGTGTATGTACTTAGAAGGATTCATGGCAGAATTATAGGTCCATAGACCAAATAGATACCTGATTTTTCAACCTCAAATTGTCCTCATGAACTGGTGACCCATTTCCATTCACTTCAAAAAAGATCTTCAGGCTCATCTAGAGATATTTCTAACTGAACTGAACATAGAAAGAGATTTATCTAACTGGCAATGAACAGCCTTTGGTTCAGTCCTGGGCATGGCTGGGAAAGATTCCCCTTGTGAAACTAAAAGATAGTATACTGTTGAGATATGCAGAGATAATATACTGTTGAGATGACTTGGTGTTTGGAGATGGTGTTTCTATTTATATCAAAGAAGTCCTTCATTCATCTACTCCTCTTATATTAATCTATTTAATCTACTTCACTTTCCATGGTGCCACTTAAAACCAGGGGAGGCAGCTTTCTGGACTGGTGGTGGGTATCTTTAAAATGTTGAGACCATGTTGTGAGCACTTTTATAAATTGGCTCACCTATTTGCAGTAAAGCTGCACTTATAGCTATGTCTTATGATAAAAAGACCTATTTAACATACCAGTCCCTCCTTCCAGCCTCCACCAGGGGCTCTCTACATCATAGTTTACTGTTTTGTTTTTCCCAAAGCACAATGATGCATTTTCAAACAAAGCCCTGGGTGAAAACCAATAAATACCCCCCCCTTTTTTTTTTTTTAAAAAAAAGTCCTTTAGGCTCAGGAGCCAATTTGCAAAACACATGTTGGTTGACTGCTTCTCTACAGCTTCAGCCAAGATAATAATGATGATGATGATGATGATTCCCTAAAAGAGTATACCTTTATTGCACAGACAAATATCTTAGAGACAGCAACTATCTTCACATATTTACCCTAATTCACTTGGGATCATTTTTGGGTTTATGTATCAAGCTGAATCTTAAACTAATCATGAATCCCACATGTGGTTGGCCACTTGGTGGTTCTGTGCATCATGCAAATACAGCTAGGGAGGTAGTAAAATAGGATACAGGGACATTCACAGGGAGGGGAGAGCGATGATGATTGATTTAATTACACAATTGGAGTCCTACCTAATTCACATAAAGAGGAACGGAACTTCAATTACACCATTGCAGCCATCTTGACTTTTTTGAACACACACACATATACCTTGTAGATGCTCCCAATGGCATAGTAAGTCCTGCAGGGTATGCCTTAAGATTCAAGTTGGTTGTATGAGATCCTGATTAATATGACTCTGAAAAGCCATCTCTTGACTCAAATTAAAGCATACTGCATCAGGTCACCCATCATCTACTTTTGTACCACAGATTTTCAGCCTGTGTTCACATCTCACACTAAACCACAATTTACTGAAGAAATCCCACCTGGATTTGCTCCTGGAATTTGCTACTCCATCGTCCCATTCAGCATCTTTCATCCCAGCTAAATTAGCACCAATCCTCTTTTTTTTTTTTTTTTTTTGCTTCCAATGATCAAGCCTTCCTCCTTTTTGATGAACTCCTTTGGAATGAGTGAGCTTGGTCCCCGTTGAAATTGAAAGCAATTTTTTGTCCTTTTTTATATGAATCATGGGCCTCTCCTCTGGTCCATTATCTTGCTAGCATAGCGAATAGGGCAAGATTTATTTCCTCAATGGATGAAGAGTGGTTTGACTTCCAGCTGCACACAGCCTGCCCCTTGGCATAAATTCGGTGGGGTGGGAGAGGGTGGCCTTGAGAAGACTTGTTTGCATGACAGTGGCCATACAGCAGCGGCGGCTCATCTGGGCTGGGCAGCTAACGGGCTTAACCCGGCTGTTTAGGAGAGGTTAACCCAACTTGTAGGCAGGGTAAATAAACAGAACAAGCTGTCTTTGTCCTCTATTCAGACCAGCCTCTCCTCCAAAAGCACGCTGCATTGAAGGCACAGAGTTCAACTTGTGGCTGCCAGAGGGACTCCCAAGGCAGTTGTGAGCGCCAACAATCAGTCAGTTTGTTTCTTTTCCTCATTAAATCATCGCCTTTTGTGCGGGGGCCCGCAACTTGTGTTTCTTAAGAAATTAACAGAATGCGGAGTTGCAAACCGGGCCTCAACCTTTTCATGACCTACAAGATGCTCTTAGACGGGCACCCCAGGAAAGCAGCACTGTTTACTTAAACGGGTAAATAGAAAACACTTGTGGGAGGTGAGAGAGACAAGGAGTCATTTAAGCCATCCTCTTAATAAAATGTAAGTGTTTGGATCCTTATACTAAGGAAATGAAAGCTCTTTTTGAGCACCAGAAGTGGGTTTTAGTGACAAAGGTCAACCCTGAACTATACAAACATTTCAGGCCAAGTGCAGAAATCTTTTGAGTAACCAATGCTTAGATTTTTAAATTAAGGGGTGGGAATTTGGGGGATGGGGGATGAGCCTAAAAAGTGCCCCAAGATAATCCTCCGACTTGTTAAATCTTGCAGTCAGTCTTAGACATCCCCCCTCACCAACCCCAATTGCATTCTATATGAATCCAGTTGTTCTGTTGTACAGCAATGTGTGATCTGGCTCTCAATCTCCTCATCTCATCTTTCTTGGCTTTTTTCAGAGATTTGATTCATTACTTTAAAATATTCTTTTTCACTTCTATTTTTTAACACAGTTCTATGTGCAGACAAAACCCCAAACCTGTTTGCGTATTCCAAGACATTTATTTCTGGAAAAAAAGAGGCAGGCCTATTCAAGCTACAGAGACCAAAGTCTACAGCATGCGCCAAGCAAGACCTTCTAACATTACCACAACCATTACTCACAGTTTACAAATCACTGTGGCTAAAATGCCAAGCTAAATAAGCTCCTTATCAGGCCAACCCCCTCAGCAATAGTACAATTGATTTATTTCGCTGAGCATACTGGGGTTTTCCTATTGCTGGTTTTAGCTTGATGTCCAAACAGCAGCCGTGCATGGGGCAGGGTATTATATAACTAAATGTACCTCCCTCTGAAGAAAGCCCTGCACATGGGAAGCTAACAGGCCAAGCAAAGCTAGGCTAGATGCCAAGTACTACCTAGAAAAAGCACCTTTTTCAAACCAAAATTCAGGTTTCTTGCTATTTAGGTCTTAGATTAGGGGGTGAGTCCGATCGATCACTCCAGCCCATACTTCATTTGAGGTGATGGGAGTCATCTTCCATCCATCTAGAAGCACCACTTTGGCAGGACCACACCTAGGCACAACTTGATCCAGATGTTGAACCAATATCTCTGCAGAGAGGACTGTCCTTAAATGGACAGGAGCTTATCTAATCAGGTCAGATGTTCTGTCCCAATTGGTTCTTCTCCCCTCAACCATGAGAGTAAAGGCTGTCCTCTTAAGCAGGCTTGGCTACTTGGAAGCTGCCAGCACTGAAATTCTCCTTCAGGTCCAACTCTCTTTCTGAACAGCCCAGGTAGTTTTCTTCACAGGGGGAAGGTAAGGGTTTTGCCA